CACCAGGGCAAGCTGGGGAGGGCTAGCCTCCCACTAGTTCGAATGAAGGGGCTACACAGCCCTTAATTCGAACTAGGCTTAGTCCTCGTAGATTTTCCAAGTTCGAATTAAGCGCTCCGCTAGTTGGAGTTAAATTCGAACTAGCGGTTTGTATGCTTAGCCCCTATGAGAGTTAATTCGATCGACGGCTGTTAGTTAATTTGAACTAACGGCTCTGTAGTGTAGACACACCCTTTGTCTGGAAATGGACGACAGGGAAGGGATCACGTGATGAGCCTGTGGCAGGCGGCAGGGGGTGCAGGCCAGCCAGGGGCTGACGCTCTCTGTGGGGCTCTCCCAGGGATGGCGGCGTCGGGGCAGGCCGGAAGGGAGGCGTGAGCAATCTCGGGGACATTTAAAAGCAACAGAGGTGCCCCTCAGCCTCCTCTGCATCCTCTTAGGGTTGTGTCTTCATGTCTCCTCCTAGGAAGCGGGAACCCCCAGCAGTACCATCCCGTGCCCCTCACGGGCCGCATTCAAATCCTTCCCAACAGCTCGCTGCTCATTCGCCACGTGCTGGAGGAGGACATTGGCTATTACCTGTGCCAGGCCAGCAACGGCGTCGGGACGGACATCAGCAAGTCCATGTTCCTCACCGTCAAGAGTAAGTAGCTCTGCCACTTGGCGCACAGAGCGGGGGCCGACCGGCTGGGGGCCAAGGGGAGGAGTCACCCAGCAGGGGGGCAGCAGGGGCCTGCGGCGTTTGGGGGAGGGACAGCAGCATGGTGGGACGAGGGGGTCGGAGCCACGCACTGCAGGGTGGCTGGGGCGGCAGGGGCTGCCGAGCTCAGGTAATTGAAACACCAGGGAGAGAGCGGAGGCTGCAGGCGCCGGCGATGTCTGTTAAAACCCAGTGCGCTGGGGAAGCTGGCTGCAGGGTCCCCGAGGAATGCTGGGGCTGAAGTCCCTCGGTCATTGCTCGCATGTTGGCCTTGGAGGCTGCCTGTTGGATCCTTGCGCGGTGTCGCGGGACGCCTCTGGCACGTGTTGCAAACCACGCTTCCGCGGTTGGCTGGGGCGTTTCCTGCCACCGCAAACACAGTCGCACCTGGCGATCCCCCGGCAAGGCGCCGGCACAAAGGCTGTTGCTGGAGGACAGGGGCGTGACAGGGACTTTCACCCCCAGCTCGCTGGTTTGAATCCAGGACAGTGACTGAGAGCGGGCGGCCGTGTGCATCTCGGGTCCGTTCCCAGGTGTCCACACCTCGACTGATCCCCCGCTGGCCCCTACGGCCGCGGATGCAGGGATTGACGGGGCCCGGAAGAGGGCCCTCATCTCGCCCCTAGCGGGGGGACACGCATTGCCC